CTCCGGGGGGCGGGACCCGGGCGCGGGTACTAACCCGCTGGCGGCTGGGGCCAGAGCGCCTTGGGGTGGGGCAGCGACCTGCGACGTCCTCGCTTCCGGATGAGCGAAGCGAGCTGAGCAACCCGGCCTAGCGCTTCGTTCTCTGCACTCGGAAGGCAGCCTCGGTCGCCCGTTGAGCCCTCTAGGAGACAGCGGCCCTGCGTGGGTTAGGAGGTGGCCTACGGCTAAGACCCCATCGGAGCCCATGCCCACCTGACTGCCGGGTCCGTGGCCTTTCCTGTCTGGAGGTGTTCGCCGCCCCTGAGCCGCTCTGGGCTTTATTTTATTACCATAGCAGCTGCCCCTCCAGTTCCTCTTAAATGATCCACGCTTTACAGCCCACAGAGCAGCGTCGCGCCTGTCACCTTATCTTCCCAGCAACGGTTAGGTCAGGGATCATCAGCCTGCGGATGGACCAAGTCCAGTTCTCCACCTGTTATTGTAAATAAAGTTTTATTGGAAGACAGCCATGCCCATTTCTTTAAAGTTGAGTATGGCTGCTTTCTCCCAGAAGGGCAGAGTTGAGTAGCCAGGACAGAGACAGACAGTCTGACCCAGAAAGCCTAAAATTTTGACTATCTGGCCCTTACAGAAAAAGTCTGTGGACACATGAAGTACATTATTCCCACTTTACAGATGAAGAAACGAAGGCATTTAGCTTGAGCAGGGTACCCAGCTCATATGCACCCAGCATGCCCCTGAATGGCACAGGACCTCTGTCCCTGTACATTTGTCATTACATCTCCTGCCTCCGTACAAATTTAACCTAGTGGGTCTTGCTAATTCTCCCAAGTGGGTCTGGCCCCTGTGTCTGACTTTCTTTTCCATCCAACCCCTGGAGTAAAGAGGGAGGAGGACTTACCTCCTGGGTGGAAAGGTGAGACTGCGAGGGAAGATGGGGATGAACTAAATAAGTCTCCTTTCCATTGTTTTTATGCCATTGATTTGTTTAGAGAAACCATATCATTTGCCTTGGAGACTGTTATAAAATAAGAGACGTGAAACACTTAACAGTTAAATGCAATACGTGGCTTTTGTTGGGATCCTGAACCAATAGTTTACTGACTGTAAAAAAAGACACCTTTGAGACCACCAGGGAGATCTGAATATGGATTGAGTATCAGGTGATATTAATGAATTGCTTATTTTGTTAGGGGATGAAGCATGATATTTATGTAAACCAAAAAGTCCTTATCAGTTAAGGATGCATATAGAAGTATTGATAGGTGCAACAACATGATGTCCACTATTCAAAATATTATAGCCAAAACAAAATCACCACCATATCACCACAAAAAGCAGGGGTATAGATGAAACAACATCAACAAAATGTTGGTAGGTGTGGAAGCTTCGTGACAAGTTTAGGGGAGAGCTCCTTATACTGTGCTCTACTTTATGTATGTTCGGAAATTTCCATAATAAAATGTGTTTTTTTAAATGTGTATAAGGAGGTGGTGATTAAAAGGTAGGAGGCTGGAAATGGACGCTTCAGTGGTGGTGTCAATATTGGTGATGGCAGGGTCAAGAGTATGACTGTGGGAGTCAATGGCTGTGGTGGGGTAGAAGAGATTATTGAGAATGAGGCAGTGTATGAGGCACGTTTTTAAAATTTTCCTTATTTTATGATGTTTTACAATTTGGGGGCCTTGCTAATCCTAGAAAGACTGCCCCTCCCGGGACTAGCTAATTCCTAGAGATAACAAATGACTCCCTCCACTTTCACCGCAAGCATACCTTTCATATGACAAACCAACCAATTCAGAGCCCTTACCGCCTACCACCTCCTTCAGCTCTCACACACCAACCCAATATTTCCTCTGTTCTAAATGATCCCAGGGTCAGGTACTGGACGACCAGAGCCCCTGTAAGCCCAGAGCCCACCAAAATTATTGAAACTATCCAATCCGAAACTTCTTCAAACTTCCCACCCTGCCTCACCATTCCTTCCCATGGAAACCTCAGTAGAGGCTCTGGGCCATGCTTTCTACGTGCTCCTCCTGCTTGCTGACTGACCCCGGTACCTCCCATGTGGCCCCACATGGCATGGTGTGCTCCCTCCTCTCAGGAAATGTAAATAATAAATACTTCTTTCGGTGGCATTGACCTTTTCATGTTGTCCTTCAGTGACCTCCAGAAATCATGTCTCAGGTACCATTAAAACCAGAGGCTCAGGTACAAGAGGCCAAAATGTTGGGTGGATTGTCTCTGCCCATGTTGAAGTTGGCAAGAATGGTGAAAGGGAGAGTGGTAAAGAATGCAAGAATCCGGGGGCTAAAGTAATTCAGAAAGGAGAGAGAGTGATTAAGGGGTGGGTGGATCATAGTAACAAGGCTGGTGGTGTACTGGAATGGTCTGATGGCAGGCATTTCACAGGAACTGGGGTTTGCGAAGGAAATGGCCATGGGGGAAAAGAGAACACCGATTCTATCCTGAATTCCCGAGAGCATGGGGAAGAAGAAAGAAAAGGAAGAAAGAAGGGCGCCTGGGTGGCTCAGTTGGTTAAGCAACTGCCTTCGGCTCAGGTCACGATCCTGGAGTCCCGGGATCGAGTCCCGCATCGGGCTCCCTTCTCGGCGGGGAGTCTGCTTCTCCCTCGGACCCTCCCCCCTCCCGTGCTCTCTATCTCTCTCATTCTCTCTCTCTCAAATACATAAATAAAATCTTAAAAAAAAAAAAAAGGAAGAAAGAAAAGAAGAAAATGACAATGACTTCACTTGAAGGAGCTATGGTATCCTCAGGGAAGAGAGCCAAGCTTTGGTGAAAGCGAGCAAGAGAAGCAAAAGTTCAGAGAAGGAAATGAAGGTATGTGGAATTTGCAGGTGGCGGACCAAGCATCCTAAAGGTTGCAGTGAGGTTTGGGAGGCCTGCAAGGGGTGTGTGATTGGGACTCCATTAGGGTATAAACAGGAAATAAATATAGGGTTAAGCACCCAGGGAATGACAGATTATGGGGCATCTGGTAGTTGGTTTTTTCCCATTGTGGTAAAACACATATTTATCATCCTGACTATTTTTAAGTGTACAGTCCAGTGGTCTTTGTACAAGACATTCATAATGTTGTACAACCATCACTAGCATACATCTCTATAATTCTTTTCAAATTGTAAAACCGAGGCTCTAC